TTTTCAGCTGAAGCTGCTCTTTGCAGGTTGACCTGTGCTGTTTGTGTTGCTCTTACCCCAAACATTGTTGTAAAGAATTATCTACCCAGATGCTTCAGCATCGATTAACCTTGATGGTTCTCCTGTCCTGACAATGAAACAATGGAGCCCTGCAAAGTGACAATTAGGTTCTGGATTATCTCTATATACATTAAATTTCGTTTGATTTGGTGCCAGATCAACATAGTATCCTATTGATTCCTCTGTTCTTATATAATACATACTTTAATCATTTTCGATGTATGCTGAGACGATGACCTAACCTAACTTAACAGTCATGTTTCTGGACTGTGGGAGGAATCAGATAATAAAGTAAAAATTCTTGGTGTTACCTGGATCAGGACCTGTCATTTAAATCCCATATCAAAGAAGTTTGTAGAATTTCCTTCTTTCATCTGCGGAATATTGCAAAAAATTTGAAATATCCTGCCTAGGGGTGATGCTGAGAAACTAGTCCATGCATTTGTTACTTCAAGGCTGGACTATTGTAATTCTTTACTATTAGGAAGTCCGCAAACTGTAGCTAAGTCTTTAGCTGATCCAAAATGCTGCAGCCAGAGGTCTGATCAAAATGAAAAAGAGAGATCATATCTCTCCTATCCTGGCTTCTCTTCATTGGCTTCCTGTTAAATCCAGAATAGAATTTAAAATCCTCCTTCTCACATATTCAGCCTTAAATGGCCAAGCTCCCACTTATATCAGAGAAAAGTAGAATGAGAGGCAGATCTTTTAGTTATCAGGCTCCTCTCCTGTGGAAACAACTACCAGTTTTAGTCTCTGAGGCAAACACCCTGTCTACTCTAAGGGTAGGCTTAAGAATCTCCTTTTTGATCAAGCTTATACTTAGAGTGGCTCAGGCCTTCTGTGGACAGGTATTTATTATTTCCAATCATGTCCAGTCTTACTGCAGAACAAACATAATCAAGTTGAGCACATCTGCAGAGTATTTATTAAAAACACAATGAATCTTAATGCATTTGTAGTGCTAAGGCTTTTTTGCTAAAGCAATGGATTTTAGTTTGACCTCTGTCTTATTTATTATTCATGAGTATTCATTATTTATTATTCATATTCCATGAGTTCTCATGATGCTCCAGTTTCCTCCTATAGTCCAAAAAGACTATTGTTAGATTAATTTATATCTCTGACACTTACCTTTAGGTGGAAGTGTCTAAGAGCATCGTTGTGTGTCAACGAGGCAATCCTCCAGATTGTGGACTTCTGTCCAGGGTGTAACCTACCTCTTGCACAATGACAGCTGAAGATACGCAGCAGAGAAGGAAAGACAGAAAATTAAAGTTTTTCTTCTTTCAAAGGTTAACTCCACATGTGCTGGTGAAAATTCTCAGTCATCCAGGTCATAGTCATTCCAAAAAAGTAAAAAAAACAATCCACTGGACTTTGTTTCCAAATTTGAAGACCTTTCGCTTCCCATCCAGGAAGCTTTTTCAATTCAAAATGCCAGGAATAGCTTCAGTTTGAGGCTTTATAGAGTGGACCAAAATCAAAGCCTTGTTTGGGCTTAGAAACATGCAAATTGAACCTGATGAGTGGGTCCACCACTTTGGAATAGGTGTCGTTTTGTTTCTTTGTTAGGCTGTAATACCTGAAACCTGTCTATGTCTCTGAAAGGGGGTCGTTAAAGGGAATTGTTGGCCTGGCTGAAGAGGCAAGGTGCTCTGCTCCCCTGTAATGGGGTGGGAGTTGCGATGATAGCGGGAAGGAATCAACTCAATCGCTGAATTGTAGGTTTTTGAGAGGGGTGTGAAGGAAGCCATCTATGTTAAGAAAGAAAAAACAACCTTAAATAGAGGGGGTGGACTCAGCTTTCAAAAACCTACAATGCAGCGATAGAGTTGATTCTAAGACAAAACATGGCTTTGTTTATGGTACACTCTACAAAGCCTTGACCTCACTATATTTCTGACATTTTGAATAGAAAAAGCTTCCTGGATAGGTAGCGAAACTTCTTCATACTTGGAAACAAAGTCCAGTGGATTGTTTTTGAACTTTTTTTTAAATAAACTCTACATGCTGACAACCTAAATCACCGTGGAAGCTTTGTAGATATGATGAACCTCTGACGCTGGACCTAATTATACAGTGATCCAGTTGGAAGTAGAACTTGTGGAATTCTTGCCCCCCTCCCTCTCACTCACCAAACATTAATCAGAATAACCTGAGGTTGGACAGAATGATTTTTTCTCTTCTAAGTTGATTAAAGATACTGCTAGACAACAAAGTTCCATTTATCCAAAGCTAGATGGAGCAACATATCATGTTCCAGACTCAGGTTATCGCAGTGACGAACGCTCCCCTGTGTGTTTATCAGTCAGTCACGTTTTCAGGCTCACCCTTTGCCCATGTCAGCGATCGAACTGACCACTTACTACTGACAACCATGATGAGGGAAAATACTGTGAGGTATTAAGTGAGGTAAAGGTGAGCTCCCCTCTCATATAACTGAACCCTGACATTTGAATGAGCTGAGCTGCTTTGCTCTCGCTCTTTAAACATGCAGTAACTTTGGTCTGTTTGTCCTCTGGCCACACATTGACCAGTGGATGGTCAGGTAAACCTGGCTCAACAGGTCTTGTAGTGCTTTAATGTTATTGTTGGGTCCACAGGATTGTGTGCTGAGCTGTGTCAGGGTTTTTACATTTTCCTCCTCAGAAACTTCAGCCCAGGTGAGCCTCCAGCTGGTCCCAATTGGACACAATCAGGAAGCAGTATTTAGAGGAGTGGATTACCTGGGACAGACGCCGGTCAGTTAGAATTCCAGATACTGGTAACCAACCTGCTAGCTCCATCGCATCTGAGCATTGTGCTTAGAGGTTAAAACTTACCTTCTTGTCCTCCTTCTCTCCTAGCCGCTTTGCTGTCTCCAAGCCGGTTCTCCACTTAGTCCTCCTGGATCCATCCTCGAACACTCACCTGCCTGTCCCCCCTCTGGAGCTCTCAAGCCTTAACTCCATCTCTGCCAAACTCAATCCCTGTGGACTCACCAACCTTCTCCCCACCCTCTCCTCTCTCCAATGAACAGTAAGAAATCAGCATATTCTCTTTAAAGTCTCAGTTCCTCCTGCCAACGTCCTAACTGATCTCTCTTCCCGTGCAGTTCCAGTCTAAGTCTCAGTTCTCCGAACCACCACACCGGACAAAACCAGTTTCTCTGTAAATCTATAAAATAAACATCTTAAAACGATTCCTGACTTGAATTGCGTCTGAACCAGAGTCTACTCTAGAATAATGTCAATTATTGCTCCATGGAGAAAAAAAAAAGGCAGCATATGGATAGAACTTTGACTGAAGAATATGCCTGACTCTGATCAAGATCAGGTACCTAAAAGTGACATTTTTACTTTATATATGGCTTCCTCTCCTGTGAGACATGGCGGTGGTGGCATGATGCTATGGGGACACCTATTTTAAGCAGTGTCATTGAAGATGGTCACAGTTGATGATGGATGGAGGACAAAAACCCAAACCAACAACCAGCTGTATAACGGACCTTCAACATTGGTCAGAACGGCCTAGTTAAAGTCCAGACCTAATGCAATGGTAACAAAATTTAAAAATGTATGTTCTTAATACAAATGTTGATAATGATAACTGATATTGTGATAATGGTGATTTGAGGAATTTAAGACTGAACTATGTGTTATTTTCTACTTCTTTGTCTCATTTAAATGTCCTTTATCGTGATTTTTTAAAACCGTTCAAAGTTACTTATAGGCAAAATGCAGCCTTTAGACCCACATGGGTCCATTTTTGTTTTAACATACAGTTTCTTTCTTCTAACCACAAAGAAAAACACTTGCCTCCAAAGCAAAGCCACATCTCCCCGTTTGTGTGCCGCCCCATTTCATGATGTCACCCTGACAAACCACTTCCGAAGCCTGAGTGAAGTTTGAGACCAGAGACCAATAAACAGATTTTTAGGCCTTAAATATCAGCTTAAAAAGAACAAAAATTTCTGCTCTGAGTCGGAAAAAAAAACTACGAATAGAGCCACTTGGTCTTAACTTTGATATTTCAAATTACCCCTCCCCGATTGGAGGAGGAGGGAGTAGGTAGATACTCTTCAACTACTACAAAAAAAAACACTTAATGCATGATTCTGATGAAGGATTAGAATTACAACACAGTTATAAGCTCAAAAAAGTTGATTTAGCATGATATAGGTCATATTATATTCATATTAAAATAATAAGTGCAGGGTTGTATTGGTCACACACACAAAAAAAAAAACGTGGAAAATATAAAGTGATGCTTTTGTAAAGCTCTGTGTTTAAGCTCACTCATACATACAATGTGTAATACAACACCAGATATGCACCTTAAAGATGCTGCGCAACATGTAAAACACCTGCCTGTTAAGATAGAACATGTAAATGTGCAGTAAGGCGGTTTTATTTCCATGATATCTGCAGGCTCATCTGTAGGAAGCATCAATGCATGTTGGAAAAAAAATACACCTAGAGCTGATGAGGAACCAACTCAGAATAATGAGTAGGTAGGTGGCGATAATGAGCGAACCAATTATACGTTATTAGACAATTATTACTCTTGTCAGTTAATCGAAATGCTTCTGTTGAAAAAGGTTGCATTCGCCAATGCAGAGTATTGCCTATGTGTAGAGCTAATTACTGTGTGCAAGGCCCCGTCTGATTAGACGTTTTAAGCTAGCGGTTCAATTATACATTTTTTATAACAATGTTATCAAAAGTGTTGCTAACATCCAGACAATACACACTTTATTATAGGTAACAATAAGTTGTTGGTCTTTTATATTTCTTGAGCAGAAAGTGCATGATACTTATCAGAATGGAGCTGAAAAGAGCTTCCCTGTTCCTGCAAGACAAGACCCCCACAGTATGACACTACCACTGCCATGTTTCAGCATAGTGATGGTATATTATGATAAAAAGACTTAACCATTTTTAGTTCAACAGCCATTATTTTAATTTAAAGGAATTTATTGAATACATTTTTAAAGGCTCTGACCTGAGTGTCTGACTAGTTTCTGGTATGCATGTCACATCTTGCTTTCAAGATGATAGAGATCTCTGAGGTGTCCAGTTAATCTATGATTATACGGCTCCTCTGCATCCCTTTAAATACCTTCACATCCACTGCCTCATCTCTGATTAGTGTTCACTGTGTTGTCAAAATGAACTGCTGCACCTCACTGCTGCACAATGAATGCTTCATTTCTCTGAGCGTCTGCCAGCGGAGGAAGGTCCCTTTGCCTCTGATTAAACCCTCCGAAGGTCTTCATCCTGTAGAGAACTTGCGTGGATCTCTGTGTGTGCCTGTTGAGCATCGGTGTGTTGTTTTAGGGGTGAAAGAGGTATTTTGTGAGTGAGGCAGAGGGGAGGACAGAGGGGGATGGACGGTGCTGCAGCTCAGTACAGAAAAAGCATGTGTATGCTGGCCCACGTTATCTTCTGTAAGCAAGCAGGAGGGAGGAAAGGGCAGGGTTTCAGGGAGGAACACAGTCAAAGGATAATCTATCAGTGAAAGTGCAGGTGACTAGTGACTCTGCAGTGTTTCAGCCGGCTTACTGCTGCTAACCGGCACTCTGCTGTTTGCTGATGAAGAGGGATTAAGCAGCTCTGTCTCAGTCACTTCATTCCAAGACGTTTGATCTCCACAGAGGACTAATCCCAAACAGGTTTGTGCACAAATGTACAGAACCAGCCTCCGATGCTGCACGCTGGCTCATGGGTGCCTGAAAGGAATGGAAACAAGCAAAAGGACGCATCACAAAGAGGAAAATCAAACATTCAGACTTATTCTCCGTCTGACCTTGAATGCCCCTCACTCACCCACACACATGCAGCACCATTTGGAGCTGCTTCTGTATTGTGCTGGGGCTGCAGTGAGGGCTATTAAACCTGCAGACTTTTGTCTCTCAATAATGCATGATTAATTAGAAAACTCTAAAAAAGAGTGAAACTGAGCTCAGATGGAAACCAGAGAGCAGCTCAGTGGGTTACCCACTGTCTTTCTCTCTCTCACACACATTACTGCTGTCTTACCACAGTGTACTTAAATGCACAAACAGTGGAGATGATTTTATTACCCTTTATTCAAGAATTACTTTAAAGGCAAATAAAACTAATCTAAATTTGATAAATGACCAATTTTGAGTTCATATAAAAAAAATATTATTAAAGAAATCCAGGACTGCAGCAAAGGTTGCAGCATCAAAGCTGAGGAACAAAACTTGGTTTCCTGCACCACATCCTATGTTATCTAAGTATTTAGACCTGGTGACTGGAAAGGCTACTAGTTTTTAAAGGGAACTCATTATGGTGTGAGAACTGTGAAATGGTGATTATCACGTTGGAATTTGAGTTAAGGGATGGATGCAGTCAAAGCTAAAGTCAGGTAGGCTGTGGCATTAAATCAAAGCTCAATTAGTACTAAAAGGCTCAATATATGGAGGACCAACTCTGACAAAATTAAAAATAAATGCAGAAGTCAATAAACACTCAGTAAATACATAGGCATAAATTAAACAGGCAAAACTATATGCAGTAATTAAATAAAACAGTGAAAAATTAATGTTTAAACATATTTCTTTGTTTGCATGATTTTTTTGTGTTGTATGTTTTATTTTTTGTTTATTTTTTACTCCATTTCTTTCTTACACCCTGTTTATTTCTGCCTTCTTTTCCATTTCTGCATGCATTTCTGCTCTCCTCAAGATATTAAATCACCGAAACATAAACACTTGAGCCAACTGACATATGCCAAGTTGTGTTTCCGATTTTTTTTTTTTTTTTTGCTGTATTTTTTATAAATGGGAAATTACATACACCAACAGATAATTAAAAAGAAGTGCTAAATAAGCCATTTACCATTTTGCCATACAAAAAAAAATCATAAATTTAGATTAATATTTTTTTAAAGCTACAGTGTGTAACTTTTAGCGACATCTAACGTCCAGACTGCAGACTGCAGCAACATGAACATCTCCCCCCCATCGCTTCTCCCCCCCAACAGTACGGCGAGCGTTACGGGACAAAATGTCTTCCACGACGTCCGCATCACCTACCTTCTCAAGTGATGAGGTTTGTTTACATAGATAATTTTACAGATAGTATTTCATTAGTCTGTGTAGGGTATAGATTTCATGTAGACTTAAGATAATAAATATACCCGTTATTTTTTCTACATCGTTGTGACGTTTTGGCGATCTCGCAATCGCTAGTTTGTTGCCTCTGCGCTGCCGTAGCGCAAAGATGTCTGCCTCCATGGCTGCGAGACCCGCTCCTATGTAATTATAAATAACGAATTCTAAGGCAACGCAAATATTAAGGTTAAGAGGCTGAGCTCGTAGATGATGATAAATAACATAGTTATGTCTAATATATTACATTTCTGACTGTATATCCCTGTAATTATTACACACTGTAGCTTTAAGATTTAAATTTTTCAAGTTATTTCTTACAGATTAATTGATTTACAATTTAAAGCCAATGTCTCTTTGTTTCTTTATGAAATGGACCAGAAGGACTAAAGTAAGCTATTGGCTACTAATGCCCCTTTTTCACAAGATGAAAAACCTGTTTAAACTCAGGAAACAACGGCTTTTAGTGGCAGTGGGAACATCTCACTGACACATATCCAGTGGTGGCAAAAGTACACACATTTGTTACTTAAATAAAAGTATAGATACTACAGTTTAAAAACACTCTGGTAAAAGTCAAAGTATCAACTTCACCTCTTAACTCAAGTAAAAGTGAAAAAGTATAAAAAATACTTAAAGTATAAAAGTATAAAGTAACCTTTAAAACAAAAACAGCCAGATGTCACTATATGGGTGTCAAACTGGTTCCAGAAAGGGCCGTGTGGCTGCAGGTTTTCTTTCCAACCAAGCAATAGCACACTTCTTTCATCTCATCAAGGGAGTCCAATCTGAACATGATGACTTGATGGGATGAATGGAGTCTGGTGAGCTATTGTTTGGTTGGAAAGAAAACCTGCAGACACACGGCCCTTTCTGGAACCAGTTTGACACCTGTGCACTATAGGAATTGAAAGCTCAATTTTTCTACTATTTCGAAAAATTCTTTGAGATAGAGCCAAGGATACGCTTTCATCTGTGTCCGACCTTAAACATCATTTTCTGAATCCCACATTGTAGCATGGCATAGACAATTCATGTTTGCAGTTTGAAGAACATCTGCTTGCTTCTGATGATTTCCTTTAGCTAAGCAAAGAGTGTTTGCGTTATATGACTCATCCAATGACACTAGTTTTCACCAGATGATGATGGCGCCAGTGATCTGCATTGGATGGCGCACATGACGTGAAATAAATATTTATAAACATTAAACTAAAGCCAAGAGCAATGAGTAACATTTGTTTTAAAAATGTAAGAAAAAGAAAGTACAGATACTTGTGTGAAAATGTAATGAGTAGCAGTCAGAAGTAGGAAGAAAAAGAAGTAATGGAGTAAAGTATAGATACCTAAAAAGTGTACTTAAGTACAGTAACAAAGTATTTGTACTTTGTTACTTGATACCTCTGCACGTGTCTACTCGGGTCAAACAACTCGGCGAATTACCCATGTTAAAATGACAACGGTTCTGATCGGCATGCTGTTGTGTTCCCACAGCATGACCAACTAAATTATGTGAGACCACTGAACAAAATGTACATATGTCAACACATCGCTTCTGAACTAACAAGCCAAAATAATGCTGCTTGCATTCGATAAACATGGTGCGGCATAGGTAAGAGGGATTCAGACAGATAAAAGAGCAAAACAATACAGCACACTTACTACACACTAGCTCCCTTCCATGTCGCTTTCCATTGTTTACTTTCCTAATCCAGCATGATGACATCACTACACAAGCAGTGGCGGGGGACAGAGGCCACGCAGCTTGCCAGCGAAGGGTTAGACCAACCTTTTTTTGTCAATGTGAAAGAAACCAAACACTGATTGGTAGCCATGTTTGGAAAACGTGTTAACCCACTAATTTTATAGGAAAGAGGCTTAATTGTAGACAATCCAGTACAATCCTCAACATGAAATCTAGATTGCATTGCAAAATATAAATAACGATTTCAAGATAATTGCATAGAAAATATTTTAAACCACACTATATTATTTTTAATAATTTATTTATGTATGTTTTATAATATATGTATTATTCTTTCTGACATAAATCTGTAACAAAAATAAATCAAAATGCTTCAAACATAACCATTTGGAGTTTTAGTGACTTAGTCAACAAAAGTATCAAAGGATGAGGATATTATAATTGCATAAATCCAGCATCAAACAATAGGCTGACAAAGTGCATTGTTAAATTCAGTATTATAATTTAGCTTGTAGGTCCAATGTAGGTCTGATTCGAACACAAGCTAGTATCACAAATGCTGCATATTACAATTATTTCCTGCATCATTTGTGAGCATTTAATACACAGATGGTAGAACTTGCAAAAAACAAAACTAAAAACTACACATTTTAAATTATGTAGGATTTACCTCTGTCAAAAGAAACTTTGCAAACTCCTCATCCATCAGCTTTAAGCCTCTGTAGATCATGAAGCTCCCTCCAGCTTTTAAAAGCATCTCTACGATAACTGCTACTAGAAAGTTCAGGGCAAGTTTAGTAGATGGACTTTTCTCACAGTTTAAACTGTCTTTAAAAAATCTAAAGTAGTGTAGGAGTTGGTAACTTTTGTCCTTGTTTTGGTCGCTCCTCCATTGCTTCTCTTGACAGACTAAAGCATGTCATCCTTTTTTGCACATTGCTGCAGATACTTGATGATTGACAGCTCCCTCCAGACGAAACTGCCTGTTAGTCAAAGTCACTGGTGAACGCGTTGGAGCTGTTTAGCTGTAGAGGCCGGATGGGGGACAATGGTAAAAAAATGATTAGGACATATAACCTGATAAGACGGTTAAGAAAAAAAACATGTTTTAAATTATTTTTTTACCTACAGTATCAAAAGTTACAAACTAAAGCTTTAAATATTTAAAAGCCTTGAAATGGATTTTTGTTCCCTTTAAAAAAACTGTTGACAGATTTTTTTATTCAAATTGCATCGACCAAAGACTTGCAGGCTAGTTCTTACTCCTTCTTTTCCTTTCCTCTAGTGACTCCAGCTCTGACAGGCACCATGTTTTTTTTTTTTTGCTACGGATGGAGGCTGAAATTACTCAGCTGTAAATAAATAGAAACAGCAATAGCAAAGTATTTAGAATGTTTAGAATGTTTGTAGCAAAGATATTGACATCATAGTGTAAGAAAACCGGGAAAAAGTTTTCTAATCTTGCAGAGTGAGAAGCAGCCAATCAAACATCAGGGTTTCTATGTGAGCCGCTCTAGTCCCGCCTCCTTCACTTACGGATGTGTGACAGTTTAAAAACATTTTTACTGTGCTTCAGTGCAGGAACATGAAATTCTTTTACTAAACCATGAAATAATCATAATCACTTCTTAAATTAAAAATCTATATATTACACTCATTTAATTAACCTCTTAATATCCACCTCATTTCTGGGAAATTCGCCTATTTTGCAAACCCAAATGGAAAAGCAAATAACTGAGGCACAGTAAGCCCAAATTACATGTGTGATACATTATTTGAAATCTAACACCTTCTAGTTTCTGAATATATACCGGTACATGAAAATTGGGTGAGTTGAACATCCAAGCTGCATCAGCTCAAACATGACTCAAAGTTGTTTTTTTTATTCTCG